GTTTATATGCCGCGATGTTACTTTTCATTTTTAATCAATACATCTGCAGGTCAATAAGAAACCAATGGTTTTTGAATCATTCAAATCGGCTGATCCGTGCTTTTGAAATTATCGACATCTATTTTTTCTAAGGTAAGCCAGCATGTTCAAAAACCTTTGAAACGTAAAGATATGCAAAAATGTTCATTATGAATTTTTTTATATGAATCACTATAGCACACCCTACCGGAAGTTAAAAATGATATTGAATGAAACTATTCATGACTATCCCTTCCCCGAAATAAGCATAATATTTTTACATAAACATTCCAAATGCATTCAAATACGCAACCCTTTTTCTATAAATCACTGCTTCTCGTGCAGTGGACCGGCTACTCGATAGTATTAAAATGTCAACTCTATTATTATAAGCAATTAACAAAAAACGACTCTGGCCATAAATTTTATGAAACAAAAAAGGTCCGGTTCATAACTTTGTGTTATTGTTTAGTCACCCTATTAATTTTTAAGCCCTTAAACTCCCCTAATTACGACTGGGTCGACTTCCCACGCATCATCTCGCCCTGGCTGACCTCGGGACGTGTTCTATTGCAATTAATATAAACGACCACTCGGAAAAGACAATAGATTTTGAGAGTTATGATCATTTTTGTGTGTGAACGGTTATTGGAGATTTTGAGATAAGTTAAAATTTGGAAGAGAAAATACTGATATGATAGTAATCCCCAGCAAAATTCAGTTTTGCCCAACTTTTATATAGCTAATGTTCTCATTTGTTTAACTAAGATTTCTCAATATTTTATAATATACAAAAATTTCAATATTTATTAGAATTGAATTTCTGACTTGACCGAAATCATCTATACAATTTCCTGCTTCCAACTAGTACTAGTTAAAATTACATTAACACGTGTAAGAAATTAATCTATTTATTCAGGAGTGATTTATAAGTATATTGAATTACTGTAGGATATGATAATGTGGAAAACAATTGCAAATTATTCAATTTTAAGCCAAATTTGCTAACTTTTTGCTACTTTCAATAAATAGTATGAAGATTGTTTGATGTTAAACGGAAAACTCGAGTCTCATGCTTACAACCATACAAGGTGTATTTTCAAAACCAACCACTTGTCGTAGACCAATAATATTTTAGGATGTTTGTTAAAACCATGCATTTTATCAATATGCAAAGTTTTATTAAAATGGTTAATGGACGTTTCAAACAGTTTTTGAATTTTTAAAATCGGGTCAGAGTTTTTAGTTAACCCCTTAACTTAAAATGACCAGCAGAGCCCGCGTACGATTGCTAGGCCAAAAGTGAATATTACGGGCATAGCCCGCGGACGATATTCGGCAAAGAAGCAAATATTACGCATTTCGGGCATGACCCGGTATGGTAATAGCAAGTATTATGAAATATTTATTCATACGAAACTATAAAACACAAAATTATTTTTATTTCTGTGACCATATACTATGAGGGAAAATAGTCAAAACGCCACGCCATCTTGAACAACTTTGGGCCGACATTTTCGAATCTAAATTGTAAGTTAAAGGGTTAAAACTTCGAAATTTTTTCCTAATTTTTGCTTATAATAAAGAAACAGCCTGACCGATTGTACAGAATCAATAAATATGAATTCTTCTCGAGATATGTGAAATTGCTTTATAAATTTTTGATATCGATTCAACTTAATTAAAATGAAAAATCAGCTTACATAAATCTTATAAATCTACTCAACCCAGTTTCTTTTTCTTTATTTACTATGTTCGTATTTAACTATTTACTCACTGTTTGTATTTCATTCGACATATGTTAATTTCCACCCCCTCACGCAATTTTTCCCAATCTGCGGGAGACAGTGCGTGTCTTCGTTCGGGCACGCTGTTCGAATCGCGATCGCCGAAAACAATGCCCGAGCCACGTTCAGGCGCACGGGCGCTTATGCGGACTCTTGGCGCATGTGGTCACACGTCGCCTCCCGCCGAGAATGGATAGACTACTGCAGTTTATTTTATTTTTTTGTTCGATATGATTCTAAAGAATCACCGTAGGTTAATTCATTTGAATTGAAATAACACGCAAAATGTTTAATATTAAGGAGTAGCGAGTATTACTGATGTTGCTGTGCACCGTTTATATAATTTGTCACACAATGCATTCAACTTGTGCATTTTGTATTTATATATGCCTTCTTTTATTGTGTTTTTTGCCTCTGAACAAGCATTAGTTTTATTTACATATATTTCTCTATTCAATATTTCACATTACCTTAATTTTACGAATCTTCTGAATCCATCTTCTACTTACTTCTAATTTCGTCAAACTTTTACGTCTTTATATACTAATGTATACAATTACAAGTAGGTATGTTATCATACGCAAGCTCTTTATTACAATTCATAATTTATTTATAATATGCCAGAAATTGAACCAACAATGTCAGACGTGCTACTGACTGGACTATGTCCAAGCCTGTGGCTTGTTCTTATATTAGTCTTCTGTATCTGTTGCTCTCATCTCTCGTAAGATGAGATAATTTGCTTCGATTTCTTAGCCGATTTTTAGAGAACAGATGTATGAAACAAATTTAACGCATGTCGTTGTCATATATAATAAATCGACAAATTCATAAGATAATTTTTTTTTAAATTTTTTTGATTAATCTAAAATATCTACTAACGCAATCTGTGTATTCCATCAAAACAATTAGTAATTACTTTGTTAGTTCATGCAGTTGGCAATTGGAAATCCATCCAAATAGTTGTGTTATCTTGTTGTGTCTATAATTTTACATACTCCAGATTAGTATTTTTAACTTTTATGGCAGAATGTTCAGAAAGAAATTTTCACTTCTATATTATATTATTTTGATCTGTTTTCAAGTGAAAATGCATATCTCACCTGCTTGATATAAGGATGAACGCAACGCGGGTTTATAATTTAGAACTATATGATTGCAAGAGCAAAGATTCTACCACTGCGACACGAACACTCCAGCAGCTAAAGTAAATGTGAACATACATATGTAAAACATATGTGTACATATTAATGTTATAAAAAGTTAAAATAACTTGGTCGATTTGACGACTACTAATTACCTTCAGCAGCTTTTGTTTCCGCATTCTATTTATTCCTGTATAGTATTTTTAGCTTCATATCTGAATATATTTTTGTATGCTAATAAAATATAAAATATCGATTGATTATTCACATGTATAGTTCCGATAATATTATATACATCTGAATGAATAAATAATATCTTACTACGACGACGTCGACATCGAGGGCACAATATGAAATAGTCTTGTGTTACAAGTGGACGGGTCTCTTGTTCCGAGTCAGACCAGCGGAAACTTATTCATTGTTAGTATATCAAAATTTTCAGTGTTATTATGGTTATGTAGGCTATTTTTTCTACGTATCGAGGGGGATTAACAAGTTTATACAAAGTATCGAAGTGGAAGAGGGCTTTTTGTATGAAAGGCAACGCGGTTATTTAGATGTATTTAAGTATTTGTCCTCGCAAGTGGCAAAAGATCTTGGCAATTGTGTGCGAACGATTTACATGATGCGGCCTATTATGCGATGTGTTAGGTTGTCCATTCATGAATCAGAAGTAATAATAGGAATTTGATGTAATAGGATTATGTATGTACTATGGTAAAATGCGATTTTTAAAAACGTTTATTATAAATTAAAAACATCGAGTAATATAGGCGAAATATACATTTTTTCACACGAATTTTCATCGCGTGATGGATGGAAATGGAATGTTAATCTGATTTTTTTGTTGAACATATTTACGTTTATTTCTATTATATAAAATATGAATTATTAAGCATTGACCTGTTGTGCGTATTTTATAGTAATCACTAATGTGTATTTGTATTTTCGAGCAATTAAATAAAACTATTCTTCATACGAACTTGTAGTAGACGACAAATTTATAGTATATTTATAGTTGTAGTAAAAATCTATGAAATCTCAACTTTCTTGTATCACTGCATTACTGAGTAGCAATTAAACTGCATAAATATAATTGTGTAACCGTCTATTAACAAGTACAATAGGTCTTCAATCTTGAAGTAGGTACATTACAAAATTGATATTTTTCAAGTGCCAGTGCCGGTATATTATTAAATATATGGAATTCACAGTATGACTCCGAGAGTGTGAGAATGATCCGGGCGAATTAGAAATAGTGCGCTCATTGTACGATGTAACCGATACAGTTATTGTAAATCTTTAGAGCAGATTGTAATCTGCACTCGCAAGTGCGGTTGCGACTTCCATGATTTTGGGGTCGATTAAATTTATTTAGAGACCGTTATGGTAGGATATTAAATTTTATTTCTTCGGAAATATCGTTTGTCTTCAGATTTTATCGATTTCGGTTACAGGATGTGGGTTTTTCATCAAATCCCTTGGCAAATTGCACAATATAATGAAATTTATCTCAGCAATCTGACTGCAATTTTGCTCTTCTGATAATTACTTATAGTTATTGTATGTTGTAGTTTTGAGATTCATTAAGTGTCATGGCAATCAATGAATTAATTCGAAAAAATAATCTGTTCATCATACTTACTTGTCTCGTACACTAGAAATAATATTTTTCAAAAATATTTTGGATATATAAAGTTTAAAAATCGTTGAAGCAGTAAAACACAGTTTTTGTCACATAAACTTAATGCTTTTCTTTCGAATAATAAAAAACTCTTATTTTAATGTTGCTAATTCTAAATCAAATTTGTTAATTACATAGTACTCATTATTTTTAGTTATCATAAATTGGTCCTATGCAATCATGTTCTTTGATCAGTGATGGAAATTTATACCACCTCAATATAGTAAAATTATTTAATACTTCTATAATAACGCTTCTATAATAAGGTTTTGTGGTAACTTTCCTTCCAAGAATTTTTTTATTCTATTTTATCTTATTCTCAATGCATTTTTAACTGACCATATTTTTCTTATTTTAAAATTTTAGATAGAAATGGATTTTCCTACCACGTCTTCACACTTTGAGGACGCGATTTTTGAAGGAAACCTTTTACACGAGGACTTCATCGAACTTTCCAATAAAATAAATAATAAAAAAGATAAGGCTCTTGAATTTGAGACAAATCCTGTGCCTCCTGATAAAGATGAGCTAATTCGACGCATTGAGGATGTTACTTTAAAAATTATTGAAGACTTGTCTAATGACAAATCACCAGTTTTAAAACTACGTGTCACTAATTGGAACAATTGCAATTACGAAAATGATATGTAAGTTATTGAAATTAAATTAAGTATGCATTAAATATGTATTTGTGCGTTATTCTTGCAGAGTTAATATGAAACCTGTACCAGAAGCACAAATTGGTCAAGTTTGTTTCGGCGTGGCTCGCAGTGAACGTAAATTTACTGTGATTGTCTATATTTTGTCTAAAATTTATAGAATGTTACAAAGTGGAGGGACGTGCACAAAGAGGTAAGTTAAAGTTGATTTTTATTTAATTAATTGAAATATGATTCAACTGATAGAGCTGTTAATTTAAGTTAGACATAAAATACATTATGATTTTTATATATTAGAATAATATATACAGGTATATTCATAAATTTGTTCTCAGAGAGATGTATTACCAAAACGTGCCATTGTTTCAAAATCAAAAAGTTGTGGACAGTGCAATTCGCGATATTTGCAGTATTCTTGATGCTCCCAGTTGGTCTCTAGGAGTTAATGCGACCTCTAAAGGATTAATTGCAGGGGATTTGACCATTACCACGTCTGACGGAAAGGAACTGATATGCTCTAACGTCGGCGGTAAATATTGTAACAGAAATTCTAACAATTAGCAAATTATAATCAGCTTCACTGCTGCTCATAACTAGTTAATTACTAGATTGTTTTTCCATAATTAGTAAACATTCTAATTAAACATTTTTATTTCAGGAATTATGCTTCCGCAGAACGTCTTTGGCATACAATTCATAAAATCCTCAGCCAAGTTTGTCTTAGTTATCGAAAAGGATGCAACTTTCCAAAAACTTTTGAACGATGAAGCTCCTCGTAAATTGGGACCTTGTATTTTGATAACGGTAAAAAATCTAATCTATTAATAAATGCATTTATTAATTTTAGCAGTTGAATGCAATACGTATTTTGCTTTTAGGGTAAAGGTTTTCCTGACGTAAGTACCAGAGTGATGGTCAAACGTCTCTGCAAAGATTTGCAGATTCCAATTTATGCCTTGGTAGATGCGGATCCACATGGCATCGAGATAATGTGCACATATAGATTCGGATCATTGGTGAGTCTCATTTAATTATTTATATTTATTATTTTTCATGTCCTTGCATCTACTATGTTATTTAACATGAACGCCATTTGATTAACTTTTGTTTCGTATCATATTCCGCAAATCCGCACTATTTACTAAGATGACAGTATAAATGAATCCGGAATATTTATAATTTATAATTTATAAAAAAATTATGGCACAGTTGGATGTTTAATTATCTAAGATTATTGACTGATATGGGATCATTACAGTTTCTTTTCTTTAATACTTATAAAAAATGATAGTTTTTTGAATGTATTCATTTATTTAGGATGATTTTAAACTAGAGTTACGTTCCGTCATCTGGCTTTCTTTCAAGAAGTACGTTTATAGATATTATAATGGAACAATTTAGTACGAAATAAAAAAATGAAGGAAATGGATTATAAAATTGAAACAAAATTTAATGAAACTATGTGTACGCAGCATTTTGCTTATGCATAATCAATGAAAATGAAAATTTAATAATTTAGATAAAATGTTCCAAATATTTGTTTCGAAAATAAAGTTTACGCTTTCAATAAAAACTGATCAATTTGATTTTGAATTGATATATTCTGAACAAATTTATAACATCTGAAATTTATAATTATATTCATTATAGCGCAAAAACATGAATCTTAATGAATTTTCGTACCTAACCCCTTTACGTATGACTTAGAATATTTTGGAATAATTAAAAACTCTCATACGCAAAAACTTAATATATAATTACGAAGAAACGGCTCGGTCAATCTTTATCAAACAATTTTTAAGTTTTTAATATCAAGATTTTCGGCTATAAACTAGCAAACATTTTTGCATTTCTGTTAATTGTGAAGAAACCCCTTAAAGGCAGTTACATCAATCGAATGGTTTTTAAATGTTTGAAAAAACGTTTTTGTTAACGTCGATTAAAGGCTAGAATCTGGCTCACTCGCGCATACAAGTACTCCAACTTTTGATTCAAACGATTCAAAATGACTTGAAACGCTGATTGTGAGAGAACATAAAATTAACAAACCGAATTTTCTGGAGATGACAAACTTCTTTTTTGGAATCTCTTCCCTACTCCAGAGTTTAAAGATAATTGAATTTGGTAACACAATAGATTATTTTTTTTTTCATATTGCTAATTATAAATATTGGAATTTAATTTTTGACACAATGTCTGCTGATGGACCCTAATTAGTTCCGAAACGTCGTAAATAAATACTCACTTTCAAGAAACTCTTTTTCTGCTGGGAATACAAACACAAATTACAAATAAATTATATTTCTATTAAAAAATTCATATATTTCAATCTATTTCTCGCATCCATATTGCAGGCTATGTCGCATCAATCCGACTATCTAGCCGTTCCCTCTATCCGCTGGCTGGGCGTACAACCTTCGGATGTCGAAACCCTGGCGGTTCCTATGTTACCAATTACTGTGGACGACCTATCGAAGTTACGAACTCTGAGATCACGATATTATATTCAAAATAATCCCGAATTGCTGAAACAAATCGACATTATGGTATCTACTAACTGTAAAGCGGAAATTGAAGGTGTCGATTGTTTGTCCAATTCTTATTTGACGGATGTCTATTTACCCAGTAAAATATTTCATAGCGATTTCATATGAATGACACGAAACTATTGCATTTATCAAAACTATATACACCCTTGTTTTTTCTTTCTTGGCCCTTTTCACTCGTAAATTGTCACAATGTGAAGTATTTTGCCGCCAGTACGGCAGCATATGAGTTGAAAGAGTTAATTGCATTTCATTTGATATTTTATTGTTAATAATATATATTCATTCATTTATTGTAAATAATATATATTTACCCATATGTTCAAAAGCACAACAATTTTATTTATTAAAATACATAAAACTTTACGAAATTTCAAGGAGTTAAAAAACAACTCTTTAAAAAACATATCAAAATAGAATAGTTAAAACTAATATAAAATACAAACTTATAAAATGCGTAAAGATAAAAAAAACTAACGACTTTTGTTTCGACTTTTTTTCTGAAATTCTTCTTCATTCCTCGTTTCCAACATGGGCGTAGACGATACTAATTGACAAGGCGTGAATAGCAAAGTGTTATTGATAGTTTGTTCCATCGAAGAAATTAAATTGTTTTTAATATTCGTCAAATTGTCAGATACAGCCTCATTAATTACAGATTCAGAATAATCTTGCGTTTTTTGTTTTTCACCGTGACTTCTAAGTGTAAGGATTAAGATTTAATCATCAAGCTAGAATAAAATTAATTATTTCATATATTCTCACCGCCATTGTTATCAGAAGTAGCTGTTAAGTCTATAATAGAATTTTTTCTGGACACAATCTCTATAGATGATGATCTTTTGGGTTTTCGACTGGCCTGAAATCATAAATCAATTATTAATCGGATCGCCTGATCGTAACCGCAGATTGGAGGACATAATAATCAAATAGTCACAAATTCCTTGAAAAAAATTGCTATGAAAAAATAGTTTAGTAAAACGCATATGTCTCCTAGAAAGAAGATATAAATGTAATTTAAAATGTAAATTTAAAATGTAAATAAAATAATCCAAAATAAAAAAAAAACTTTTATTAATTACAATAGTACTTATCATATACGTAGCACTACAAATGTATGAAACAGTTTATATATATTTTCGTGTTATGTAATGAAATACTAGAATGTTAGTAAAATAGTAATTTAAAATGCTTGTAGAGAAAATCAAGGCTTATGCATTTGATTTTATTGATTGAAAATGATGAAGAAAATGGAGACATATGGATACATATAAAATATTTATAGTAGCGATAGCGACTTTCCAAATTTTCAACCACATTTCAACTTTATTTAGAAAATAAAGGTTCAACTTCTACTAAAATCCAATCAAATAAACTCATAATATCTATATTTTTAATACTTTCATTAAATTTATTTAAATCATCTCTTCTTCGTATTTTAAAAATGTGTTTTATTTATTGGACGCCAACGGTGATCAGTATAAAATACAGAACGAAATATTCCTACACGATGTATTGACAAAGCGATTTATTATTCTAAACAAGGACCTAATTAATAAACTTTTCTAATTTAATCAGTTTTGTTAGAATATAATATTTTAGGATATTTATGAAGGTTATGAAGGTTATGAACATAATACATAGTTTCATTAAAACAATCAAGTGGAGCTTTAACGAAAGTTAATTGAAAGTACAGTTTAAAATTTTTCAAAATCAGTAGGATGTCTGTTTTGATGAAAATTTTGCACTTTTTTGCTAATTGTAACGAAACGCCTCTACCGATCGTTTTGGAAAAATAATAGAGTTTATATCGAGTTTCATCGAATAAATTTTTTTTAATTGGTGCAGCCGATTTTGAATCAGAATATTTGAGAGGGTTTGTAAAAAATCAACTTGTGGCGCAAATACACACTTATTAGAGAAGCACTTATTGTCTATTGAGTTTACCCTGATATTATTTTTCTTGCTTCTTCGTCTGATATTAAACTTCTTCCCGTAGCCTTTTCCGACCTTATACAGTTGGTTACTAATTCTAATTAGGGCTTTTCGAGCCGCCGCCCGGTGACGAATTCCGTTGTCATCATAAAGTCTTAAGGGTTTTTGATATGTGAGTCGTTTTGTTTCACATGTTAATAAACTGAAGAAACTAGACTCTACATTCTGAAACATGAACTTATATTATTATTAGAAATAAAGTTTGGAGATTTTAGAGGAGCACTCGATTATAAACAATACTTCTTCTTTATATACGGAGTTGGACTCGTATTTAATGTAAAATTTAATTAAAAATATATTATAATAAGTCATAATGATAATATATTAATAAGCTTTGTTATAAATATTCATAAGAATATACAAATATTACCAACGATGAATATACCATTATTTTAATTTATATTTGATTATTTTAAAACAAGGGGCCGATTTTGTCGTAAAATAGACCAATGTTATAACAATGCTATTTTATGTTGCAGTTTTCATATAGAGTTGTACTAAAAACTATCAAACGTTACTTACTGCGCAGTTAGGCGTTTTAAATAGAAACCTAACCAAAATATGCACAAATCATAACTAGGTTTTTGAGATTTGGCAATAACATGTGGGTGAAGTTGCATTTGGTGTGCCTGATCGCACAACAAATACTTTTGACATTACTTAGTACTATTTTTATAGCTATAATATATTACATTGGTCTGTTTACGGCAGAATCGTCCCATAAATCTATTACTATTAACATAAATAGAAATTATATTATTATTAACTTCCCGAAGGAGAAGTTTATGTTTTCATCAAAAAATCCGATTCGCTAATTTTATGTTTTCTCGACGTTTCAAGCCATTCTGAATCGAATGAGACCAAATTTAGAAAAAGTATGTGTGTGTGTGTGTATGTGTGTGTGTGTGTGTATGTGAACAGATTTTTTGCCGTAAATCGATGTTTTCTCAAAAATGACTGGACCGATTTTAAAAATTTAAAAGCCATTCGATGTATCTCGATGAGGACTATCGTCTCTGAGTTTTGTGCGGCGATCGGCCGGGCCGTTTCGTTGTAAATTGCAGAAAAGTGAAAAAATTTTCGCCGACGTTTTAGCCCGCAATTCTAAATCGATTCTGAAAATTCAAAAACCATTCGATAGATATTGGTTGGGAATCGTGCTGATTAGTTTTTGGTAAAGATCGGCCGAGCCGTTTTCTTGTAATAACGTTTAAAAAAAAAAATTCGACGATTTTTATGATTTTTTTTTTTGACGGTAGATACCATAGTTTTCTAGGTCATACTAAAATATTACGGCCCTACGACAACTCGTTTAGCTTTAAAAATTCGTCAAAGTTTGCAAAAATTGGTATAGTTTTTTTGACATTTGTCAAAATTAGACTTTTGATCGACGTTTTCTCAAAAGCGCCTGAACCGATTTCAGAAATTTAAAAGCCATTTGATGTATTTCGGTGAGGACTATCGTTTGTCAGTATTGTGCGACGATCTGCCAAGCCGTTTCTTTGCAATTTAAAAAAAGTGTTAAACTTTTTGTCCATAAGCTCATCCTACCGAACCGATTTTAAAAAATCAAGAACTGTTCGAAAGATATTAGTTGGGAATGGTACTGATTAATTTTAGGTGAAAATCTACCGAGCCGTTTTCTTGTAATGAACTGTTGAAAAAAAAAATTTAAGCCGATTTTCATGGAACTTTTTTTTGGCGATATACATCATGGTCTTATAGAACTTACTGTAATATTACGGCATTACGACAAGTAGTTTAATTTTAAAAATTCGTCAAACTTTACTAAAATTATTATCGTTTTTTAAAGTAGGATTGATGAAGTATATTATTTACACTTTTTTTTGATTAAGTCAATTATTTACACATATCGGGAAGTTCATGTAACTTGCCTCAAGGCTAAATACCAAACCAACTAGTTTCTTATTTATTCGGCAACCGTTCAGAATATTAAAATGCAGTTTTTTTCACGTTATTCTAGCCCATAAGACAATTCACCTGACGTCTAATTGAAGCTTCTACGTGCCCGGGAAGTGTGTGAAAAATTAAAAAAACTAACTAATTTTTCGTCCATTTTTTGGGCATTTTTACTCGTGAAATCTTTAAGCGCCTATAACTTTTGAACGAAACATCATAGGACATTGATGTTCCCAGATGAAATATTCGAAATCAAAAGATCTTTGACCCAGTATAACAATTTTTAAAATACCTCTTACCGTTCGCGAGATATACCCTAAAAACAGTTTCAAATTTTCATGTTTGAAACAGTTCAACGCCAATATCTCGGAAAATATTCAACATAGGATCATGATGTGTATGAATGAAATATGCGCATTTAAAATATGTATTTGTAGGTGCAAAAATTTTTATGATAGCTCCAACCGTTCCCGAGATATTCGCTAAAAACCATTCGCCTCCTTTTCACATATTAAAAATGCGTTTTTCTCGAAAACTATTTGAAGTGCGATCGAAATTTTTTAATAGCATTTTCCTTATGTCATAAGGTATCAACGTTGTGAAAATCATCAAAATCGGAAACAAAAAATTTTCATCCAAAATCGGAAAAAAAACGTGACCCTAGCATCATGCTATAAATTAAGTTTTTTCTTATTTATTCGGCAACCGTTGAGAATATTAAAATGCAGTTTTTTTCACGTTATTCTAGCCCACAAGACAATTCACCTGACGTCTAATTGAAGCTTCTACGTGCCCGGGAAGTGTGTGAAAAATTAAAAAAACTAACTAATTTTTCGTCCATTTTTTGGGCATTTTTACTCGTGAAATCTTTAAGCGCCTATAACTTTTGAACGAAACATCATAGGACATTGATGTTCCCAGATGAAATATTCGAAATCAAAAGATCTTTGACCCAGTATAACAATTTTTAAAATACCTCTTACCGTTCGCGAGATATACCCTAAAAACAGTTTCAAATTTTCATGTTTGAAACAGTTCAACGCCAATATCTCGGAAAATATTCAACATAGGATCATGATGTGTATGAATGAAATATGCGCATTTAAAATATGTATTTGTAGGTGCAAAAATTTTTATGATAGCTCCAACCGTTCCCGAGATATTCGCTAAAAACCATTCGCCTCCTTTTCACATATTAAAAATGCGTTTTTCTCGAAAACTATTTGAAGTGCGATCGAAATTTTTTAATAGCATTTTCCTTATGTCATAAGGTATCAACGTTGTGAAAATCATCAAAATCGGAAACAAAAAATTTTCATCCAAAATCGGAAAAAAAACGTGACCCTAGCATCATGCTATAAATTAAGTTTTTTCTTATTTATTCGGCAACCGTTGAGAATATTAAAATGCAGTTTTTTTCACGTTATTCTAGCCCACAAGACAATTCACCTGACGTCTAATTGAAGCTTCTACGTGCCCGGGAAGTGTGTGAAAAATTAAAAAAACTAACTAATTTTTCGTCC